GAAAGATATTCTACCTATTAGTTTTTCTGGGTGTCTGGTAATAAGTAGATATAGAGCCAAAACACAAGGTAGGTAACAATAAAATTAAACGTTGTTGATAGATATTAAAATTGTAATTAATGACAATGATTAGCAAAATGAGTTAAATGTACCTAGGTATGTTTACAATTTTAATGATCAATGATTAATGAAGTAGTTTAATCTAGTTTAATCGAAACTTTATGATATCTTTTGACAATGTAGGTGATGTTTTATTAATAAACATTAAAGCACGGTAAAAAATTAAAACATCCCGTTGTTGCGTTGATAAGTTGCGAAGAGGCAATATCCAGTTCAATTTATCGACTAAATTCGCATAATTTTCGTGTAAGACTAAGGAATAGGCCAAAAAAATTTACTGTGCGGACACAGTCGTAGGCCTGACTAGTATAAAAAATAATTCTAACCTATCTGTAATGTCATTAAGACCATAACTGTTAGAGCAATAAAGAGCTAGGCACTAGCTGTCGCTGATATGATAATGTAGAATTGTTAATTTAAATATATGTTAGATTAAGGAGATAACCAAAAGATATATTGTCATTGAACAAACCACTAGCAGGTAAATAAACGACACCTCTAAAGAAAGAGAACGAGTAACTATTCTTTCTAAAATTCCAATGAATGAAACAATCGGATGTCGCAGTTGGACGGAATCGAATCGGATGCATTGCGCGCACGCACTTGTAGGTATCTACGTCATCCACAGATTCAAATTGTGACACAAACACTAGCTCAACAATGTACCTACTCACATCACTACTGCATAACAAAACCATCACATCATTTAAATAAACCCTTAACTTAGGGGTAGGAGCTCTTAGTGCTTAGGAACTAAATACTTTGATAATATCTAATGTAATTTTCAATATTCACCGGTTCGATGGACCATTGGATATGAGTCCTAAGCCCGATCTAGGAATCGAATGTTAACTTTAGTTCGACGGTCAGGCTTGCGACCATTCGATAAAAAAATGCTAAGACATCACCATTATAACAAAACAAGTTGAAAAATTAATGAGTACCCATAGGTTCTGTGCTACGGTTTTATACTTAGGTATCATAAATAAACCTTGATTCTATATCTTGTTATAGAATGCTATATAGATATAGAACGTATGATTTATCTTCTCCGTACTAGGTGTCTAATTCCTTTTATATCGTTAAATGCAAGCGCCAGCAGAAATGACCTTTCATTTGTTTTTATTAGAGAATACAAGAACAGCGTCACTGTGACTGAATGTAAGTTACCTCCAGGCGTATCAATAAAAACATTATTTTATTAGCCATATTGCAATGTAGCAAATTAGCAATAGAAATTAATTGTTTATGTTGTCATAGCATTAAAATCAAAATAGACTCAATTTATACAAATTGCTGTTAAAATTACTGGTATTTTAAAATAATATAAAAATAGATACAACGATATCTAATAAACAGGGTTTTGACAAATACCTGCGTAAATAACTAAAATAATTAAGTAGGTATGTTTTCCTCAAAAAGTACCTAAATGACAAAAACAGTCGGTTAGTGCAAATAAAAAAAAATACACGACCTCAAATTTCGAATCGATATTTTAAACAGCGAAATTGGACGATTAATTAGGAAATTCCTTTTTTAAATCGAATTTACACTGTGTATATAATACAATATTTTTGATACAACATTGATTAGAACCTATTTCATTTAAAAAAAGATATTAGATAAAAATTAAGTTGGGTACTCACAACATGATTGATGGTGACGATAACTAGTACGACAGTTCGTGATCACAGCCACTCGCAGACTGCGAGCGCGGGCGCAGAATATTATTGTTTGAATGGCTTTAAGGTCGATTGTTCGCTTTTCTATTGCGTATGACAATGATTCGACGATCTTACACCTTTACGTGTTCCCAGTTATCATAACTTGCAGCAGATAAATCCATGATTGTAGGAGATATGTAAATAAAACTATTCATTTAAATAGATTATAATCGTAATGAAAGATATTTTTTATCTGACACGTTGATAATAAAGTTTATAGACATTTTTTATAGGGCTCGGAGTTTCTTTGCCAAATCGAACAAAAAATGAGGAGATCCCCAAATGAACTAAAGTCACCAACATATCCCAGCTCTGGTAGTGCATATAGCTCGAAGATCCGACAAGCGCTGGGACAACAAGGATCTCGAGTGAAGGCCATGTACCTACAGTGGCCAGCACAAGCACGTAAACCTAATGTGTAAATTTTTGACATTGGATTTTCGACTTTATTTCTACACAATAGAGTAGAAAATGTAATAAAGAAATTTGCCAGAAAGGAGTTGGTTGACCTGGTGCCCACTGTCTATACCGGGAAATGTAGCGTAGGACGTCTACCCATAACGTGGACAGACGACCTGATTAAGGTCGCAGGGCGCCACGAAGTGCGGGAGTAGGAACGGGGTGGTTTTTAGCCAGTAAGAGTCTTAACACTCCCTCCCGCCTCACGCAGAAGGTTCATTCGATAATTTTCCCCCTTAAAAAAATAAAAAAAGGGCGCTACTAAATGCAGGTGTCGTGCAACCGTCCTATCAGAGGCCTTAGTACGAATTTGTTTTACGTTTAAAGTAATCGAAACGAAACCTCGTCAGGCGCTCTGATTGGTCGGTTCATTGGAGCCGGCCAATCACAGCGCCGAATGCGTACTCGTTACGATTACTTTAAACGTAAATAAACTCGTACTAAGGCCTCTGGAAGTTATTGGGGAATGGGGGAGTCCTATATTCAGCAGTGGACTTGTGGGTAATATATTATGATAATATTTTTCTTGGGTTTCAATTGCCTAGTTGCTTGCATTGCGATGTGGATATTACAATTACGATTAATATCAAGGTCGAACTGGATACGTAGGTACTAATTACTCCAATTACCTATTGATATTTTTTATCGATAACTATCGTAATTAATGAACTAAAATCAAATAAATACACGAGTGTCCAGCAAGGAGTTTTGTGTCCGACTTGTAGAGATATAAGGTAGGTAAGGTACGTAGGAAAATTTGTTTCAAGGTCCTATTTAAGTAAGTACAATTACCTACATAATCAGCATATTAGCCATAGGACGTGTCGCGGAGCACCTAACGGGTAACCGGGGCTCCGGCTCGACGTGCAGGAGAAGGAACGGGGTGGTTTTTAGTCAGTAAGAGTCTGACACTCCCTTGCGCCTCACCCAGGCGGGAGCAGTCGTTCGATGATTTTCCGTCTATCTATCTGTCCCTATGTATGCTTAGATCTTTAAAACTACGCAACGGATTTTGATGCGGTTTTTTTAAATAGATAGAATGATTCTTAAGGAAGGTTTACATGCACGCACGAAGCCGGGGCGGGTCGCTAGTATTTAATAAAACATACCAAGTTATAAAAATATCTGTTATTCAGGATAGCCTCCATCCGATATTAAAAACATTGCTCAAATTGGTAACTAAAGAATACTTATTAATTACACAATTTTTATGTGAAATACAGCAAGTTGAACCACCGGTTATAGTACTTATAAACATTTTACTTGAATTTACAATACTTACAAAATATTAACTTATGAATTTACTAAACCATTGACGTGACAATAATTCTGTTGTGCACAACCGATACAAATACTAGCACCTGTCTTTTTGTTCACCAGATGGCGCCAGTGGACCTCTCGTTCTCCCAATAAGGAATTAGCTACTGTCACGCCAATTGACGTTCAATTTTTGACAGCTACAGTAATTTAACAAAATCTTTACTAGATCAGTGCCTTTAGCCAAACGCCACTTTAGCACTTGTCTACCGAAAGAGTAGAAAACTAAATGTATGAGGATGACACTGACAAGTGTCAAGGTTTACGTCAATTTTCTATATAATTTGGTTTTCTATTCTACAAGTAGACAAGCGCTAAATGGCATTACAGCTACAGCTGCAGGGCCATTTGGTAAGCAAAAAAACGTTAGCTCCATTGGGATCAGCCATTAACACGGGCACAATATAATTATAATAATACCCTAGACGAACGATGGCAAGATTTTATCGTGAAGGGCGAGGGGTGGGGGGCGGATGTGATAATGTATTTTCTCATTTAACTATCAGCACAAATTCATTTTCTTATTCACATATAAACTAGTTATTCCAAGTCGACAAAATAATGAGAAGTTATACAAAGCGCGAACTCATAACACCCTTGCCCAACTACGACAAAATCTTGGTGCACTTGACGAACAGAACTCGAAAGATACATATGTTTTCATTATTTAAGACCTCACTGATTTTGGCCTTTTTGCACAACAAAAACTTAAGTTCTAAACAGCAATTAACATATTTGCTTCCATAAAAACCAGGACACATCACTTGCTTTTCTTTCTATTAAACTTTAATAATTTCATTAGTCTTTAGTATTTGGCAAATAATATTAAGGAAGTTTACACACTGAATTGTCATCCAGTTATAAAATTATAAGAACTTTTTGCTTTGTTTACTTTGAGTTACATATTATGTCACTGTAGTACTTTTTGAAATATCACTTAAACATATATTGCACTTGAATTTAAATTTTGTATTAGTCTTATTAAACAGATACATTGCTTACATATAAACTTAATATTATTGCAACCTTCAGTTACTCTCTGGTATTTTTAATATCCATGTTCACTGGTATTTTTAAGTCAATAGTTTAATTTAAAAACTTCTCTATACTTATCAGTAACCAAAAGATATCCTTCGTTATGAAATGTATCGTATGTAGCACTTAATAACACTATTCTTACAGATAGACTTTGAAAAGATCTTTTGCGCACATCATTGTTGCAAAAACATAACATCTCGTCAAGTAAACATAATAAATTAATACATTCTAATTATAACAAACCGAATGTGCACGAAAGATTAACTTAATAAATCTTAGCTCCATTTTGAAATGTAAAAATGTAAAAAAAAATACTAAAAATTTATTAGTAATGAGTTTTTGTTAGTCTGGTGTCCGGGATCTTGGCAGCTCATCACCGAAGCAATGCTTATTGATGGGATCTTTATAAGAGTTCTCGTGGAGAACACTGTGTGAACTGGTGCGGCATTTCGTCAAGCACAGTTCATAGTCATCACTCAGTGAACGGAAGAGTACATTTTTTTCCGTTGATAGTTTTGATAGCACAACTTCTAGCATGTCCCTCTGAAAATTATAAATATTTTTATTATTTTAATATCTCATATTGACACGATTATGTTAACTATAGTACCCCATTAAAATAGTAAAATTTTTATATATGTATATGTTCTCAGCTATGAAACATATTTGGGTCATGGATTCTACAAAATCATATAGATGCCAGTTCATAACATTATAGTTCCATACCTTACTGGGATCCAAACAGCAGGACACACAATATTCATATATGATACAGCAATTATTTTCTGTACAAGTCTCGCAGCTGTACCTGTCAGCAGAGTCTGCTTCAGTGTCACAACAACCATTCTTTGTCATGTCACTTCTATGACATACGTAACCTGGAATATTTACAGACAAATAAACATAATAACTTGCTATTTTTAACTTCTACAAAGTTATACACAGTTACAAATTGGGTTTATTTTGTTTTTTTATTGTGATCCACTGGTTTAGTTACAGAATTGTACCATACACATTTTAAATAACAAAATTTTTTTGTTTCAGTTATTGTATCTTTGCTTATCCTTCAGGGAAAATGTGTGACGTTTAGTTACATATTGTAGTTTACACATAAACAATTTACATTGATAAAAATTACCAATTATTAAAGATAACAAGCTGGAGGATTTGGTTATATCATGAATTTAATAACTGTTAGCAAGAATAATTTGCAGTGTAATTAAGTTATGTAATATACTACACTAGCGAGCAGCCCCAGTTTCGTACTGCAATATGCATGTATTATACATATAAACCTTCCTTAAGAATCACATTATCTATTTAAAAAAACTGCATCAAAATTCGTTGCGTTGTTTTAAAGATCTAAGCATACATAGGGACAGACAGATGCGGATAGCTAATTTGTTTTATACTATTTAGTGAAGTAACAATAAAAGATTTTTTGTAATAAACAAATAACCTACCTCTGTCATCAACAAGTAATGATTTCCCTTGGACAGAGTTTCTGCACATAATATGATCTATAGTGTCATTGTGTTCCTGTAGAGTTCTCCAAACAAATGGCTTCCTCTCAAATGAAACATCCTGGTATATCATGCCTCTGCTACTGCCCTGAAAGTTGCATACAAAAACAAATCAGTAGTGGAATAAAGATTCCTGACTGTGGATTGTTATTGTTTACGACATAAAAGCAACGCAACAAACAATAGAACTGTTGACAAACTAATCATATTTTCATTCTAATCAAAGGCTATAACATTCTTCGAATACTAACCTCTCTAAGGAAGCTGACGATACAGTAAGTTAAAGAAGACGCAAATATAATGCCTAAAACTAAACGTCTTCGTATGAACCGCACTACCGCAGCGTACCACATTTTAAACTCGTTATTAACACTCAACTTAGTAAACCGATCACAATAATAAGGAAATAAACTGAAAAATAATAACATTTTCAGGCGTAACAATGCAGTCTATAATTCATCACTTTCTCCGGATACATCGTTTATAAATATTAAGTGAAATCTTAATGTAATTAGACTGTACAAGTAAGGTATACTATGTTTATTGTTTTAGTTAATATATACGATGCTGATTGTTTTTTTTTCGCATATACATTGCGATAAAAATCATTACACACAAGAAGAATCCAGGTTTATGAAATTAAACTAGTCACACTATCATTTCTGCGGTCAGGTAATTGTGATCAGTGATTCTGATTATATCTGATTGTCAGTGTGAATGATTCTGATTGTGTACGACTTTGACAGTTAGAGTTGACACTTCTGTGTTCTGACTTTGACAGTGGCACAGATAAAATAGAAGCATGGTATTAATCGATTTTGAGATAACCAAACGTAATCCTTACTAATATTATAAATCGGAAAGTTTGTTTGTTTGTTTGTTTGTTCCACTTTCACGCCGTAACTACTTATCCGATTGCTTTGAATTTTTGCAGACGTGAAATTAGAAGTCTGGATTAAATAACAGGGTACTTTTTATTCCAGAAAAATGTGATATTCTTGAGGGAAAACGAAATTATTGGTATAGTTTTGTGTGTTGGTTTATGTCACATAGGCTACTTTTTATCCTCTTGTGACGCGAGCAAGGCCGCGGGCAAAAGCTAGTGTATTATAAGAGGAGACTTCCCCTATACTTACTATACTCTTTGGAAGTGACATTGACATTGTTATAGAAGATTTGTTGTGGCCAAAGTTGTGGCTAATTTCTATCTGTCATGACCTAAATTATCAAAATGTGAACTATACATTTCTGACTAGACACAGACTAAAATAGCTCCAAATATCAAAATTACTCGTAAGAACTGACTTCACCTCCTATATAGGTTGACCAATATTCGTTAAATGTTTTCTTAAATTCATCGAGGACAAAATACAAAATTTCAACCACATTTCAGATATACTACATAAGAGCAACACAGACTTTCACCCTGATTCGGTATTGTTGTATCGGACCAAGCTTTATTATTCTCCACGCCTCACATCTTTGGAAAAATTCACATATTCTTGAAAATGAAGACAAAAATAATCTGCAGATCCATAATTAATGTGGCTTTGAATGACCGACATTGGCAATAAGCTACTTTTCCCATTTTCCCATCCATATACTCGGAGCACGACGCGCGCAGATGATTGAATTGAATTGAATTGAATTAATTATGTTCGCAGAGGGTGCGCGTCCAGAAGTCATGGAGCGTAGGTGATGTTGAGCGCTCCGAGAATGAGTGAGGAAAGAGAGTTTTAACTTGTGAGCGATGGCTTTTATACCATTCCCGGTTTATCCCTACTATAGCCATGCTCACACCCAATGAGACATCTGGCCGCCACGTGCGTCCCGAAACACCGTTTATTGTTTATCATAAAATCCGTACAATACATTTAAACATAATTGGTACGAACATGAGCAAATGAATAGGCACAATGAACAAAGCTAAACTAGAATTGAGTAATTAGGGAAGTTAAAGCTAGACCTTAAAAGTAACGAAGAGATAAAAGGACTTTATTGTAGTGATTGGCGTTTGGGTCCTCTATTGAATGTCGCCAACATTTGGTCAGCAGTTGGTGTGGCTTCATACGTATGGCGTCTCTTTCGTCGATATTAAGTCTTAACCCAAGGTATGCCGGAGCGTAGATATACGCGAAACCCAATGCATTTTCTATTGTAGATACTATTACGACAACCGGGATCGAAAACTTTACGTGGTCTCCGAGACACGGCACATTACACAGTAATCAGTAACCTAGTCACTGCGCCAACCCCGCTGTTTGTCGCGGAGAACCTAACGGGTAACCGGGGCTCCGGCTCGACGTGCAGGAGAAGGAACGGGGTGGGTTTTAGTCAGTAAGAGTCTGACACTCCCTTCCGCCTCACCCAGGCGGGAGCAGCCATTCGATGATTTTCCCCCCTTAAAAAACCCCGCTGTTTTAATTTAATCTGCTTGGAAAGGATAAAGGTACATAACTAGATATACAATATAAGTATGTACTTATGTAGGTAAGTAAAATGCTGCTGATACAAAACGATAATATTTATTCTTTTATTAAAAAACACGATACAGGTTTTTGATTATAAAAACTTAAATAAACAACTTATCAATTAAATTTCTCTTACAAATTATTAGTCTTACATTTTTCACTTAAGTACTAATACCTAACTATGAATTATTCTTAAATTCGACTTTATAATGATTATTACAACATTACAACAATAGTAGGATAATCTGAATATTAATATAACACGTACCTAAAGATTGTATACGAATTATAGATACAATCTATGTATTCATGAGAATCGATCTCAACAATATTCATTTACGATGTTTTTTTATTATAAAATATAATGTGGAAAAGTCTCTAAAATATATTGAGGTAGGATAACAATAAAAAAGGAGGTAACTGAAGGCTGAAGGCTGGTTGGTTAATTGGAACCGGCCAATCAGAACGCCGAGCGCAATCTCGTTTCGATTTCAAATGTATAACGAACTAAGCCCTCTGAACGACTTACAATAATAAACTACGTAAAAGGACCTCCTCTTTCTTTGTGAAGTTAATAAAAAAATATCCCTATTTTTATCACATAAAATGCAATACCAATTTAAAGTTCACTTTTTGGAGTCGTCAAGACTTTTTCAAATATTACTGGGCCATGCCGGTTTGTAATTCTGGTAATTCATTACCTGAAACGAAAAAAAAAGAAATAATGTTATAAACGCATAAAAAAAATTGGCGGCGTCTATACGAAGGCGGCGAACTACAAAGCCGAACCACGTTATAGATTGGCAATTGGTAATATTATTAGAATTATATTATATATATATACTTATAATATATAATCACTTGTAGAATATACGTACGACGTAAAACAACACTTTCATTGAATTTCACCGTGTGAGTGAGGTTAGCGGAGGCCGAATTGTAACTCCGCAGAAGTTACGGGTGTCCATGGGCGGTGTCAATTGCTTACCATCGGGTGATCCGTCTGATTAAAGATTGTTTTCTTACCGGGTCAATTTAGATTGTTTACACACCAAATAATAAAGAAATATTTCGAAGTTATATGGTAAAATGAATCAATTACCTTGCATAAGTGACTGCAGAAAGGTAGAGTGCAAGGAGGTGTACTATAGGGAGAGTACCGCGGTATTATATACTTGCCACACATGTGGCAGCGGACTAATGGCGCGTGGTTGAAAGTACCGACGTGACCTGCTACAGGGTTGCGGTTTTGAGCATGAACAGGTCTTTCATGCTGAAACAAAAATTAATTTTAAATATACTTCGTAGTTATAAATTTATTAAAATTAACGGCTTACTCACGTAAACTAATTTAAAAAAGCTCTACTAGTTGCGTGCGACAGCATTACGCACGCTGCAAATGAATAAGAGCCCCGTTGTGATTCGAAACCAGTCGAGCTATTCTCAATTTGTTCACGTGAGTACGCCGATAATTTATTTTAATTTAGTATGTTTCACGATAGGCATTACATGAAAAAATATAGTTGTAAGTAGAAAATTAATAATTCGCGTTGCATTAATTTAAAAAAAAAATCTATTTAATGTTTCCTTACCATTTGCTTGTTCATGTTGTCGTAGTAAGCATAATGTTGGTTGTTATAGTTGTTTCCTTGACTGTTATTTATATATTGTCCTTTTTGACTGCTATTTATATATTGTACTTGAGTTTGATGGTTTCGCTGTACTTCCCTACCATTAATACAGTTTTGTGTACTATGAACCTGTTTATTTGTTTGATATTGTGTGCTATTAGGTATAGTTTGAGAGATATTGTATGTATTGTACGGGGGTGGTGAATAGTTGTTCTGATACGTATACTGCTCGTACGGTGGTGGCGGTTTTCTTACTTTCGGCCTATTTGTTGGTGGGGGTTCGGCATATAATAAGTGGTTGCCATAATCCCCATCAGTTTTCTCTGTTGAGCACTGTTTTTTATGAACACTTTTTAATGTCTCTGCATTTATATTTATACTTATTTCAGAGCCGGGAGTACCGGAAGAAAAGATGCAGATATTATTATTACTTTGATGGTCTGTGTTACAATTATTAAGTACAGGTTCAGATTGAGGTATACTAAACGGTTTTAAGGGTCTGGATAGTTGTTGCTTCAAAGTGACATATTGATTAGACTCATTCGCCACACGGTTGATGTTTAGATGTGTTCTTTTTTGTTTAGTCCATTTTATTAAGTGATTTAATAATGATTTTATATGTGATTTTTGACACCTCCACGGATAAGATTTACCATTAGCTATGTTGACAGTATTATCTGAAAATTTATCAATAAAATTGTGGTTGTGTTCTTGAGGTATAATTATTGACTCCACTATGTCAAATGCTAAATCAAAATAATGGGCTTTAGCTTCAACAAACTTTTTTTTATTGTTATATTTGACTGTATCGGAGATGGTGTTTCTTTTTAGTGAATAAAGATAATGTGATTGTATAACAAAAGCTAATAGCTCCGACAGCTTATTTAATGAATGTGTAGTTTCCCTGTTGATTGGTTCATGGTTATTTAGTTCGGGCTCTATAGATAAACTGTCCTCTTCATTGGCTAAACTTTCACCTGAACTTAGTAAGTCACTGTTGCTATTTGTTTTGTTTCCGTGTTCAAGGTGACCAGCATCAATATGCTCTTTATTTGACTGTTCAAAGTTATTATTATTATTTAAAATATTTTCAGAATTATTTAATCCACTTATTTCTTCTAATATGGGCATATTTATTTGACTATCATTTATGTTTAAATTTAATTTGGCGAGGCTTGCACAATTACGTTCATCTACGCTGGTTTCCTCTATGACAATATCCTTTGTGTCGTTGTCAGTCTCAATATTTTCTAGTACTTCAGTGTTGTATTCTAATGAAGATTCGTTATCTTCATATATAATCGTGACGTCTATGGGTACGGTGAAGTCAAACTCAGCCATTTGTTTCTGAACGCTTGCTGAAAAAACAAAGAAAACCTGTTAATCACAGTTAAGTGGTTTTATATGAACGATGTTGAGTAATCTATATATATATAATTCAAAGGTGATTGACTGACTGACTGACTGACATAGTGATCTATCAACGCACAGCCCAAACCGCTGGATAGATTGGGCTAAAATTTGGAATACAGATAGATGTTATGACGTAGGCATCCGCTAAGAAAGGATTTTGATAATTTCCACCCCCAAGGGGGTAAAAAAGGGGATAAAAGTTTGTATGAAACTTTGTCAGTTTTAAACCGATCGGGTTTAAATTTGGCATGCAGATAGATGTTATGACGTAAGCATCCGCTGTGAAAGGATTTTGATAATTTCCACCCCCAAGGGGGTAAAATAGGGGATGAAAGTTTGTATGAGACTTTGTCAGTTTTAAACCGATTGGGTTGAAATTTGGCATGCAGATAGATGTTATGACGTAGGCATCCGCTGTGAAAGGATTTTGATAATTTCCACCCCCAAGGGGGTAAAATAGGGGATGAAAGTTTGTATGAGGCTTTGTCAGTTTTAAACCGATCGGGTTGAAATTTGGCATGCAGATAGATGTTATGACGTAGTAATCCGCTGTGAAAGGATTTTGATAATTTCCCCCCAAGGGGGTAAAATAGGGATGAAAGTTTGTATGGGACTTTGTCAGTTTTAAATCGATCGGATTGAAATTTGACATGCATGTTATATAAGCATCCGCTAAGAAAGGATTTTGATCATTTCCACCCCTAAGGGGGTAAAATAGGGGGTGAAAGTTTATATAAAGTTTTGTCAGTTTTACACCGATGCAGATAAAATTCGGCATGCAGGTAGATGTTATGACGTAGGCATCCCCAAGTAAGGATTTTGATTATTTCCACCTCCAATGGGGTAATGAAGGGGATGAACGTTTGTATGAAGCTTTGTCAGTTTTACACCGATTGGGTTGAAATTCGGCGTGCAGATGGATATTATGACGTAAACGTCCCTTTAGAAAGGTTTTTGAACATTTCACCCCAAAGTATGATACTTTGCCAGTTTTAAATTGATCGGGCTGAGACTTTGCATGCATAAATTTACTATGACATAGGTATCTCCTTAGAAAGGATTTTGATAAATTCCACCCCTAAGGGGATAAAATAGGGAATGAGAGTTTGTATAAATATTCTTAGCCATTGAATTTAGAATCATTGAATCTTTTTGAATTACATTCGGTAAAACGATGATTTGGGACCTGGGTAACGTTTGATAGTTTTTATCACAGATGTCCCGCGGGAACGGGAACTATGCGTCAATGCCCCGGGACTGTCTAACTCTTAACCACTGAACTTATTTTAGAGAGATTCGGTACAACAATAGTCGATAGAATAGTTTTTATTACTCAAACCTTACGTGATCGGGCACTGTACTGGTAAGATCCCTGCAGGATTATTTATTTATTGAAACTACGATAAATCATTTCAAAATAGGTAAATCTTACTTGGGCACTGAATTGATTCTGTCAGAAGTCATTAATCTACGCGGACGAAGTCGCGGGCAACAGCTAGTTCAAAAATAAATACTCACAGGTCCCCATGTCTGCTTCTTTTGTCCTTTCCCAGCTTATGTCCTATTGGTCTGCTTGCCTGTAAATAAAGTAAATTAATGAATTATTACCTTCCACTTGGTCATTTTTGGTAGCTTTTGGGGTTTTAGCATTTTTCATCACCTTCGTCAGATTTTTAAAACATCGTGTTGTATGGCTGTAACTAAACGGTCCTATCATTTTCATGAATAAATTCGATTCGATAGTCTGATTTATTGAGGTAGTTTATTAAATATTACTTGAAACACAACAAAATATGAGTGATTTTGAAAAAGAGAAAAATAGTGGAAATAAGTCTGTTGAGGTCAAGCAAAGGTTGCGATTGCGATGTCGTTCAAGTGTGGCAGAGCCATGCTTCGGCACGAACGGGCTGGCCCGACCGGAGTAATACTACGGCCTCACAGAAAACTGACGTGAAACAACATTCGATTTGTGTTTCGTCGTGTGAGTGAGGTTATCGGAGGCCCGTATACACCCCTCACCAATTTCCCCAATTTCTGAATCCCCAACAATCGTTAATTTCCTAATCCCCAAAAGGCCGGTAACGCACTTGTAACAACACCTTTGTTGTTTTGAGTGTCCATGGGCGGCGACGATTGTTTATCTCGTTTATTGGGTTATTCCATAAAAAAAAGTCTTTTGACCTCATTAACTGATGAAAATCGCGAATTATCTGACTCGCCATCCGAAACACTAAAATCAATGAGTCAGAGGGTTTATTTCCGGAGTAACTTTGTTTAAAATATAAAGGTCATCTCAATGTAGACCTGGATCTTGGCCAATATGAAAGCAAACCATAAATGGACAACTGGAACTGGAAAATAATGGCCTCTTCTCACCTTAAACGTCCCTTCACACTAGCGTTTGCTCGGCGTAGACGTTCGGTAGATGTATGCGCCGCGTGGCCGCAGCGTCTGCGCGGCGAATACGTTTATCGAACGTCTACACAGGACAAACGCTAGTGTGAAGTGGTTCTAAGAAGGCAGCAAAACTTTAGCTTTTCCTTATTTTCATTGATTCAATGCATTCTAAACTAGACGTTTACTCAAAAGTTCAGTTCAATCGATTAAAGATATATCTGCTTCAAAATTGAGTTGCAAGGTTTGGCACAAACATACCTACATGAAGAAAGTGAAAGAAAAATAAAAAGCTTATCAAAATACATATAACTGTTGAATATTCACATTATTCTCTGGATTACAAATAGTACAACGAGGTGTCTGGCTCATGCCCAAAAATAAAAAATCGCATTGAAAAGGAACTGTTTTAATCCATGACATTGAAAGGGCATAACACAGAATTTTATAGTCTTTGTAAAAAGAATATTCCAGAAATGAGTCTATAAGGGTTCGATAAGAGACAAACGAAGAGACAAACATTGGGACAGGTAAAAGTAAATAAAAGCATGTAATAATAGACATGGTGATTTTCAGTTGCGCAAATCATCATAATTATTAGGAGGGTCGACGTACAACAAGTGTCGCGGACGCCAGACTAGACGCGACCTTCAATAATTAAAAGACCGACTAAGAAGAAAAGGAATTATTAGTTCAATGACTTAAAGACTCTAGTGTTCAATGTGTCTAACACGCTACGTGTTACGTCACCATCGACATTCATAACAATAATAGCACTCATAAAGAAACTAGAGTAGCAGGTACTCCAAAACCGCTGACTTCTATCATTGCTGCACCGTTTCCCGGTGACCCCAACACAAGCCACGGAGCGCCGAGTCAGCTTTCATCAAAATGACGCCATCATTGGTGTGTACAGTTTGACACCATCTCATAATATAAATTATACAACTATTCATTCATTATTCAGTCTAACTCCGAACAGTAAGCACCTCAATTTGTTTCATAAATTTATTTTAGGTAGGTTGCTCGCCGCGCCATCTATTTTTGCACAGGCTTCCAAAAGCTCCAATTTGTTAAAGTCCAAAAAATAAGCGATTCTATTTTCGAAATGAGTAACTGTGTTATCAACAAATTGTTCCCGGTTGGGTGTGTTGTATTTTTGAATTAGTAGGTATGTTTGTAAACGCACCTACGATGCAAGAGGAAATCTTGAGAAGTTTAGAAGTTTTTTATTTTTATTATTGACTAGCTTTTACCCGCGGCTTCGCTCGCGTCACAAAAGAATAAAAAGTAGCCTATGTGACATATACCAATATATACAGCGCCATCTATACCAATACTTTTGTTTTTCCTCGGGAATATCAATTTTTTCCGGGTTAAAAAGTAGCCTATTATTTAATCCGGACTTCTAACTTTACGTCTGCAAAAATTCAAAGCAATCGGTTGAGTAGTTACGGCGTGAAGGTGGAACAAACAAACAAACTCACTTTCAGATTTATAATATTAGTAAGGATGAAAAATACTAGCATATTCGTAATTTTAAGTATCTAACCTATCAATTGATAAACACAAAATATTGATTAATATATTTTATTAGCCGTCATAGAAAACAAATTTTACTTATAGGTATCCGTAAAATATTCCCATAGCCGAAGCTGTAAACCATTCGACTACAAACATTTTGTTATCTCTAAAATCTTTTGTCGGCATTGTCTTGGAACTCCTTAACATTCTTCAACAAGAATTACTTCGTTAACTTGATTAAGCATTTCATTACCAGTTATTCTTAAAATCATACTTTTTTATTAACATTCCATGCAATGAAGAATTTGAAATAATATTTTGAAGGTTGCTACACACAGTCACAGTTCCCAGTATAGAGAGGAAGTCAAATGTGCTCCGTTGCAAAACTAATATTTGTTATTTTTTGTTTGTTGAACCATTTTTTTTTGTTTTGTTTGGTTAACTAAAATTTGTTTTTCCATTTATGTAGAGTATTATTATGTCACCTTCATTTAAAATTACTTTTACCTATTTTCCCTAATAAAAATTACTTATTTCAAGGATTGAATGATAACAGTCTATAGTATATTTTAATAATTTATAATAAAAATATTTTTATATTTTTGAGGAATTTTCATCATTTACACTTCTCTTTGTGTTTCATTTAAACGGACAGATACAAAGATATTAATATATAATAGTTATTTTTGAAGACGAGGTACCTAAGGACTGTGGAATGTCTACATAATATGTCTTTACTAAGAAACCGTTTTTAAAAAGGTACCTACTTAAACTTTGTTTTATGAAATGAGAATTCGGTAAGTAAGCTTTAGTTTGTACCTAAGCCTAGTACTAGGTACAAACAGGTAAACCAAGTAAGTTAAACTAGTACATTTAACTTTCTTGTAAAGACTGCTTGCCGTTGTCGGATCGGACACATTTAAAGATTACTTAAACTGTCAAACACCAAGCGGTCACCGGTGACCGCGACCTATTGTTCTTTAATTGTGTCTATAAAACCGGTACTCGAC